CCCAATACAATTATATCACTGTTTGAAAAGAAAATTATACCAAAGTGATATAGACTATGTAAGCAACCTACCAGGCGGAAATGGTATCCATCTATATACTTGAACAACGATTATCCCTCCGTTATCATGCAACGCCAGCGGTACTACACATGTGTTGTCATTCCTCAGGAGTAAGATTTTGTCATACCTTTAGTGTTCACATATATTTTTAAGTCTTTTTATATCTCTTCTTATTCTATGTATAATATGAATGTATTTACGAAAAAAACCTATCTAGGTATTTGTATCAGTTATCTAGTACTCATAACACAAGCTTTAACTAACTTAACTTGGGTCTAGATGGCTCTCTGTGAATCGTCCTGAGATTATTATGATTATATCTTCTAGTATATTATTTGTTATCGCCATAACATCAGCTCGTTAGCCACAATTCCACGTTTTTACTCCGCGTCGACTGAGTGGGGAATATCTCCCCTCTTGCGCCACACAGACTGTGTACGCCCGGCGCGAGACTTGACTAATTAACTCTCTACTACTAGTGTTACACATACAATACACCCTGTAATTTCACTCCTTATCTCACCTTTCAACGGAATCACAAAGAAAGAATTTTATAGTGTAGTGTACCGGTCTCTCTAGGTAGTGGTGTGGCCATCGTTTACAAAAAAATGCTAAGTAACGCAATTTAAATTCTCCGGATAAAAGCAGTATAATACAACATGGCAACATAATGCTGAGCATATTTTCAAATTTAGAATCTGCAATCATTCATCACACAAAGATTATACGCAGTCTTACTGCATTACCATTTGTAAATTCTGCGAAATACGCACGTAACAAATAAAACACTAATTTCTGATTATATTTTATAAATTATTTCTATCACTTTATGGCATTAACATCGATATAAATGTATTATTAGTAAATAAAGAACATATTAAATTAGTAATTTGTTTTTATTGTATATTATAAAGTAGATTTTAGTTAATAAACAAACAAAGACAAAGAGATTCCTTGATTAAAAACAAAATGGCTGAAGTTGAAATTATTCATAATAACGACCAAAATACCTTTACATTCTTCCTAGTTTGCAGATCAACTTACAAAAAGATTAAATTGTAAAAATCATTGTTTTAGCGTTAAAGATTTGCCTAAAGTCTACGAAGAAAAAATGGCGATTTGCACAGCATACAGTCGCATGCAAAGGCCGAAATTTAGCGGCTAAACGGAACATTAGTAATTCTTTGAAATGTCTGTATCTTTACTACAACTGACTGATAGTATATTTTATTAAATTTTAGTAATTAAATTTACAACACACTTGCTCGTAAAGTGGATCTAATTTCACCGGTTTTCGATATATAAGGCAGCTCATAAAACAGGTGTGCGTTATAAATGCCAATACTGAAGTTATAATCCATAACCGCACTATGTTATTTTTTAATTTCGAACTGACCATGCCAGGCAAGACAGTGCGCTATTTTAAAAAAGTAATACGCCGACAAAGCACCACAGTTTTAATGTTGAGTTTATTTAAAATCAAGTGTGTTGAAAATCGTCGTACGATATACGTGCTTATTTAACACACTCGGCTCTATTACGCCTCGTGTATTATAACCATAACGCACTTATGTCGTTATATATTATAACATTCCATTTTTAAACTAATAAAACACAAATCCTAAAACTAAATGGTTATGCAACGCCCCAGTTACCAGATATGAAAAAATTAAGCAGTAACTTAAGAAAAAATAAATGCAATCAAATGTAGACTTTAAAAATTATGCGACAAGGGTTTTTTTGTCAAGTTTAGTAGGATAGATGTGGCTTATGTTGGAGACCTGCTCAACATTAACCGACTCGCTGTCTTGTTCTTGTCGTTCCAGTTGGTTAACATATACGTAATAGACCAGGATGAAGTGGGCTGACAGTACTGTAAAAAAAAGGAATTTTTGTTTATGGATGGCAATGAAAACAGTCTCGCGTCACATAGAACAAAATGGCGTTTGTATAAAAGTATGTAAACATTTTTAGCGCTGTACATTTGCAAGTAATATTCATTTTCAAGATTTTGCCCGCATATAAATCCACAGTAATTTTATGTATGATAATTTACTCGTCTTTTTTAAAACGGTTACAGGTGGCTACATAAATTCAATTTTTTTATTACTCTCAGAAAGGCAGCGACAACTCTTATAAAACATATGTTTTTATTTACCTGAAAATTACATAGTAATGACTACATAAATTCAATATACACTGCTTATTTTGGTATAGTTACTAGATGGCGCTATTTCCCTGATTTTTTTAATTCTCCTGAGATATTATTATTATTATATCTAATAGTAATTTCGAATCCTGTAATTTTTTTTTCTGTATTTTTTTTATTTTTATATCATTAAATAATCCTGCTTACATCTAATTTAATATTGGAACTAATTGGAATTTTTTACAATCTGCCTGCGTTTTGAATGGAACTAACTCATTAGATCTATCCTTACGCAACAGTATTTCAAAGGAACGCTTTTTCTTCTTCTTTCGTTTCAACGGCAACTAAATACATATATTTAAATATATTTTTCCCAGAAAGGAACGAACTCATTTGATCTATACCTACGTAAAACCATTTCAAAAGCACTAACTCATTAGATCTACCCTGACGTAACATTAACAAAAAGAATACTTACAAATGATAAATAATTCGGCGATAATTGTGATCAGATTCCCTTTGTTGGTGCCTAACAGATATACGATTGCAACCAGAGATAGAATTAGCTTGAAAGTGGCGAACGAAACGTACAGACGGACGGGACCTGGCCGTTTCTGTAATAAATTTCCAATTTTAATATTAAAATACACAATTGAATTAAAAAAAAAATTTTTATATCTGTAGTATAGTAGTAATAATATTATCTACACTTAAATAAATTCAAAACATCTGTTGAATAATATTTATTGAGCAATGCCCAACTCACAAAACGATTACTTTAATGACGAGCGTGCATGGCAATAGTTGTTCATGCACAGGATTTTCATTGAATGTTAGACGTTGCACCGACACCTATATAAGTAAATTTTGTAAATAAACTGGCTTTAAAAAAAATATTTAATTGAGTTTCTTGGCAAGAAACTCAATTAAATATTTCCTACAGATTAATAATCTTTTAGAAATTTTTGTTTCAAATCTAAATTGAGGTCGCAATCATGGCCACCATATAGTTTTACCATATCTTTTTTTACGATACTTTTGGACACTCAATACTATTGGACACTCAATAAATCGACATAAAAAAAACATTTTGTATATGTCCTGAATATCTTCATTTATTAAAAAAAAAAAAAACAGGACGAAAAAATTATTCAAACCATGAGAAAAAAAATCGCGAGAATTAGAGATTTCTCGGACTGTCACACTGAGATGATCCCTTAAGACCGACATGTGCTCCATGGGGTAGTCCACCCCTAAATTATTTTTTATTATTTTAAGGCAAACAAAGTTTGCCGGGACAGCAAGTCTATACATGTAAATAAAATTGGCTACTGCTAGCTGCCAATAAAAGTCTTGTCAAAATTGGTCCAGCCATTTCAGAGCTCATTCGCCGGAACAAACAGACAGTAAGGCAAAAATTCTAAAAAATGTTATTTTGGTGTATGTACAGTATTTATATTCATATGCATTTAGTAAAAAACGTTTCAATATTACAAACAGACACACCAATTTTATTTATATGTATAGATGACAAACAAGTAAGGTCCAAAGCCCACTTTATTCGAATTCAAACAGATACACTACTTAATGTAAAATTACCAACCTTATGCAAACCAACCAAGCAGCCAATATTAACAAACAGCCAGATAAAGTTTGCCAATAGCGCGATCACGAAGTACAGTTCAGCTCTCTTTAGGATCGGTCTCTCGATGTTAACAAGGTTAGCCTTTTGATGATCATCTATACCTTCGGGCATGTTGAAATGGTCGAAGCCGTGAGTTGTGTAGCCGAAGTAGGCTATAAGCCCTATCAGAGTGATGGTATGCAACAATTTGATGACCTGGAAACAAGAGTTTGTATAAAATCCTCTGCAAATGCTAAGGGTATATAACCTCACCCTCCATCCATTTCTATCACCACAGATAAGATAATTTTACATACTACCTCTAAGCAACTTATATGGCAAGATAGGTTATAATCTGAAAGTAATTTGTTTTAGCCTCACTAAATACTCATGACAATGTAACCAGGCTTGTGGTAACTTGAACAACTCAACTTCACACCAGACTCAAAAAACTAGGTATATACTAATATATAGAAATAATCTCTATATATATTTATTAATTTCCATAGAAATAATTTTTATTTTTTAAAGTTACAAATTGGTGTGTATAGGAGGTATGAAATTTTTAAATAACAGATACCAGATGGATATTTGTAAAGTTGTTAAGTTCGTTTTCTTCCGTCAATATTATAATTTAAATTTTCGAATTTTCCAAAATGACTGGCCATAAATAATGTTAGAATTAAAAACTATTAATTCGAATTTAGAACTTTTAACTCATTTTGACGTTAATAGTGTGTGATATATATGGCCCATAGTGTTTGATATTATTAGTAGGAATCCTAAATTTGCTCAGAATATCATAAATTAACAACAATAGGTGCACGAAATAAATGCGTTTATAACAATCAAGAAATAAAATCATTTATAAAAATAGGGTAACTATTTATGTCAAATTGCCAAAATTATACCTACTGAACTTATTAAAATTTAAAATTAATTTGTAATTATTTTTAATTATCACGCAGATATTTTGTGCAGTTCTCATAATTCCAACTGCACTGTAACTATAGGTAACTATTGTATTAAATATCTTATATAGATAAGAAATAAAACATTAATTTCGTAATAAACTTTATTTTGTATTTATATTATTTAATATTAATAAAAATATACAATACTAGTATATAAATAACGTACATAAAAAAAGTTGTTACTTTTATAGAAGTACCTTAGCTAATATTACAAATGGATTAAAATTATAGGAAATTAAAAAAAATATAAATTCTTAATCACCACAATGTTAACATAATCGCTACTAGAAATAAATAACTTTTGTATGAAACTGTGAATACTTGTGCACAAAGATATAGAAAGTTTTCCAAGCATGTACTAGTCTCAAATAAATTAAAAAAAAAATGGGATACTATCCAATCATTTATAGACATTACAGCTTGGTACATAGGACTCAATTTTGTTTAAATTCGAATAAGAGCGGGGCGACCTCCAGTACAATATAATAATAATTTATCTATGGTTATATGATTAAATTAAAAATTATCAATAACATAAAATAATGCAATTAAAAATAAACATTAATATTTAAAGGACAACAATGTAAAATGAACTTTAATATTTAAGCGACAAGGTTCTGTTTGTCCAGTTTAATAGGATTAACGATGCTTATGTTCGGGACATGTTCGATCGTAACTGACTGTATGTCTTGCTTCTCACGTTCCATTTGATTGGCATATACGTAGTAAATCAGGATAAAGTGGGCTGATAGTACTGTAAAAAAAAAACAAAATTATTTATCTTTCTTACACAAAAAAAAAATCATTTCGAATCAAAATATCTTCATTCATGTAGATCTATTACAGACACTTATGTTATGTTAATCAAAAACATTTTGTCTAATAAAATTTAAGTTCACTCACAAATTAAGGAAATACCTTTATAATATAAAACCTCAGTGGTCTAGCGGTTTAGCCTTCCGATGGTCGCGGGTTCGATTCCTTGCCACAACGAATATATGTTATTTGTCTCTTCCTTTCTTTATTTTTCTTTCCTATCATTACATAACTAAATCTAGACACGCGGGAGCGCGTCAAAGCCAAGTTCAAGTAAAAGAAACGACGAGCAGCACCGTGTGTGACCACCTCAAACTCAAAAACTCTTTCACATAAACGTGTCAAATTTATTTAGTACAACAGAAAAGGGAAACAGGTAAATCAACTTACGGAATATGAATATTTCAATAACAATTGTCGCGCTGTCGCCTCCCATCAGATATATGACTGCAATTGGAGACAGAATTATCTTAAAGATAGCCAACGACACGAACAGACGGATAGGACCGGCGCGTCTCTGTGGACAACATTATTACAATTAAAATATATATATATATATACTTTAATATTAAGAATAAAATATTACGAATCCAGCGCGCTTGGTTATCACCTCACCACTATAACGTTACATATATGATCTGATGGGGTGTCGCTACATAATATACAGTAGAACCCCGATTATCCGGATCAAATAAAACCAGGGGTATTCAATATAATCGAAAATCCGGATAACCGATTTCAAAGCAAATTATACAATACTTAAATTTTAATATTTATTTATTATGTTATGGGTTTCACTTAGATAATACGATATATAAAAAATGAGCTTTAACGATAGATAATGAATTACATAATACCTATGTAATTTAAAATTTTTGTTGGAAATATATTATTATTGATCTTTGACGTAATGAATCACATCTTTTCATTACGGCCAAGTCCCTGATGCGCTTCAGCTGTAACAACTGTATGGGATCCGATTCGTCCTGTCTTTCAAACCACTTAAAAGCAACATCTAGAGCTTCAAAACCTTCTGCGTGAGATGGTACTTGACATAAAACCCTAGTTTCAATCTCTTCATCTTCTCTCTCGCTACTGTTCATATCCTCAAATATCTAGATTTATAATTAGAGCCGAGACGAATGAGTCCGGATAATCGGATGTTCGGATAATCAGGATTCTACTGTATTTGTTTACATTAGTATGTAGGTAGTGAGTATACAGGTGAAATAATTGTACTATTTATTGTACATTAGTAAGTTTATTTGGTAGTGTGCTACATGGCTTAATAGTAACACGCACATTCGAGGTGGAGTCTGGACGTAGACTGTTTTTAGATGAACTTAAATCTATGTTATTAAAGACGTAAACTAGTGGAAGGGCCTCAAGTGTTGACAGAAATATTTATGTGTGCGAGGAATCGAACTCGCGACCATCGGAAGTAAAGCGTTCTGCTAAACCGCTACACCACCGAGGCCGTCATACTACATAAAAAAAATGTAAATAAACCAACCTTATGTAATCCAACCAAGCAGCCAATGTTCACAAAGAGCCAGATACAGTTAACCACGAGTGCTATCGCGAAATACAATTCAATCCTCTTTAAGACAGGTCTCTGGACTATCTTGAGATTAGCTATTTGCTGGTCATCGAAGTCCTCGGGTATTTCGAAATACTCGAAGCCGTGCGTTGAGTAGCCGTAGTACTCAATCATCCCGATCAGCTTGATGGTATACAACAATTTGATGATCTGGAAAAGACAGCGATACTGTGTAGAGTCATCTACATGGTTAACTTCCCATTTAGTACCCCAGTAGATTGCTTTGCAAGTTGAGACACTATATATCAAAGTCATAATTATAGTAATAATATTATGTATATCCTTGCATATATAAGACTCTCTATAGTGACAAAATTTCGGAAATAATATATCGAGAACATGTTGATTTAAATTTGGAAATTTCAATTCTTTTATGTACATAATTACAACTGATATGGCACTATTTGTCTATTCCATGTCAGAAGTGAGTAATGTATACAAATAATATATTTTAATTATGTTAAACTGCAATACCACATTTAAGCAAAAAACATCACTTCGCGACTCCAGCAATGGCAGTCATAGGTACGCCGTGTAGTTTTTTAGTGTGTAAAAATCACACACACCCCACGTTACGTTACCCCTCACGTGTGTAAAAATATCCAAAAAAACCGTAGTATCTTTTGAAAACTTTACACACGACAAAAAAAAGAAGTTCGGACACTTACCCGTGTAATTAAAAGAAGGATAATATAGAAGGATATACAAAGAATACTATTTCCCTGTGATTATGGTGTCAAACGTCCTTCTGGCCTTGGTCCTTATTAATATTCAGAAATATAAAGTAGACGACAGTAATTTAATATCACGTCACATGGAACGCTTATATCTTCTTTGCATGAAATAAAATAGTTAAATCCTTGCCAAGGGAAACCTGTCTATATGTATTTGTGTTAAGGTTTCAATTTAAAACAGCTGGGGGAATGAAGATAAACTTTTCACAGATTTTATTATTAAATTTAACGAAAGCTGAAAAAATCTCCCGCAAAGGGTTAAGATAATAGATTTTATGAGAAATATCAATACGTCATCTATAATTGTATTAATTAGTTTAGTAATAAAATAAGAGATGGCGCTATATATGTTTTATTTATTGCTGTCGTTTGAATTGTCATCAATAGATCGCATCTCCAAATATCCTTCTTTCAGAAGGATATTTGGAGACCGTCAAATACCATCCGCGAGTTCCACTGTTCATAACGTGAGAGCCAATAAATTTTACAGATTCATTTACGCATGTCAACTTGACACGGCTAAATTCGTATTGTAAATTTCACATTAACTATTTTCAAAATTTCCAAAAAGATTATATAAGTTACAAGTTAAACATACATTTTGGAATAAATTTTATTTTTTATATATTGTATATCAGGCTACATGGCATTTACATTAATAGATATGTTTAGTTAAATAAACAATGAGTTTATTAAAGTACATAAAACAGTCTAAAACTGTGAAGCGATAAAAATGTTGACACAAAAGATAAAAAATACACAAACAATAGTTGCAACAGATTTTTCAAAATAAAGTCTACATTAGTAAAGATATTTCGATAGTACCTGTTCATCAATTAAGTTACAATGCAGTCATACGGAAAATAAGACTAAATTGTAAAACTCATTGTATTAGCTCCAGGATTATGGGCACTATTAGCATTCGCGTACATTTGCGAAAGAAAAGTTCTGGAAACTTGGACTGCGTATGGGTTTCATCTACCCAGTGACGTAGCTACTTAGGAGCTAGGCGGGGCAGTGCCCCAAGGCCCTCAAGCTCAAGGGGCCCTGGAACCCTTACCAGAAAATCTCGATCGAACTGAACTTTTCAAAATTTGTCCCAGTTTCAAAATAAATATGACAGGTTGCAACCCGACTATAATCATGGCAACTCAGTTGAGAGAAATTCGAAAGTTATACCCTCGGAATTCCTCTAAATTCTTTTTGTTGGTTGGCAGTGTTGTCAATTTGGCGGATAGCGATATGTGCGGTTTAATAAAACTGCTCAGCAGTGGGGCCCCATTTTTTGGCTGTGACGTTTGTCCGCAAAATTATGGCGCTTTAAAACTTAAGATCTTGCTTCAAACTATCACAGTGTAAACGCGACTTTTGCAATTCTTAATTTAAATTTATGTATATTATATTTACTGGTCGATTGTTGGCTTTTTTATTAAAAATGCAGTAATAAATATTATATTCTATTTTATATGAATAAAACACAAATTCTTAAGAACTAGAGTAACATGATATCATCAAACTGTTGAATATGAAACAGTGACATAAAAAAAAATACAGTAGAATATAGACTTTAAGATTTCGAGACAAGGTTTTGTTTATCAAGTTTCTCTGGGTAGATGTGACTTATTTTCGGGACTTCAACAATAACCGACTCGGTGTCTTGCTGTTGTGCTTCGCGTTCCATTTGTTTAGCATATATGTAGTAGACCAGGATAAAGTGAGTTGACATTACTATAAAAGAAGAAAAAAAACAATTAGGAAAAATCACGGGTAAACTGAAGAGTAGCGGGTAGATGGAAAATATTTTTTTTTTATGGGCAGACATATTCGTCTACCTTCACACGTAGCATGGCAATAGGTTCAACACTTGTAAGTTTAAATACAAATAGTCTAACATATTATAGAATACACCTTATCCCGCCAGGTGATGCATCTGATTACACCATCTGTGGGTACTGTCGTGAGGTTATTTACTTTTATGTTTTTAGTGGTTCTGGCTTATCGGTCGACCTTGACACTACGATGACTCTATGACTTTACATTCATAGAACGCATATCAAAACAATGATAATTTAATTTAATAAACAATAAGTTATGATAAATAAAAATATAAATAAAAAATTTATGTTTTCGACTGTAATTCTAGAGTCAAAGGTAACCTATCCAAGTCGAAGTGGACGTAAAACTTGAAATGTCCGCATTTCAAGTATATTGCTTGTAAAGTGCAATTAGACAAATGTAAAAAAAATTACTGGTTTTTTTATGGATGATTGGAATGGTGCACCCGCCTGCGCTAACGATTTACCAACCTCCACGCGGTTCCCCCTGAAAACCTTCGTGATAAATTCTTGGTGAATTTGTTGAAACACGATATTTGGTGTAATAAGTACTATATAATTAAATAGATTTTATTTATACTTCAGATGAAAAATCTGTTATAATAATTGTTACAATAAAGAAAACTTACCAAACATAAACAATTCGATGGCTATTGTCACGATGTCGACTCCCACCAGATATTTTACAGCAATCGGGCACAAAATTATCTTAAAAATAGCTAATGTAACATACAGACGGACGGGACCAGGGCGTCTCTGTGAACAACAAAATATAATAAGACAAACAAATAAAAAAAATTATTGACTGTGTGTAAATTAAACTACTAACCTTATGTAATCCGATTAAGCAACCAATGTTGACAAAGAGCCAGATAAAGTTTGCTAGAAGCGCAATGATGAGGTACAATTCCGCCCTCTTTAGGATTGGCCTCTCGATTATCCTGAGCTTAGCTAGGTTACGGACATCGTAGTCCTCGGGTATATTGAAATGCTCGAAGCCCTGGGTCGTATACCCGAAGTACCCCGTTATCCCGATCAGCGTGATGGTATGTAATATTTTGACAACCTGGAAATAAAAGGGAACCTATATAAAGTCTTCTGCGTGGATACCTCTGACTTATCTATCTCTGCCATCAAACAACTCGATTCGCAAGCGTGTTACGGTGATATAAACAGTAAAATTACAGAATATGGAAACATGACACGTGACTACTGAATGAATTGCAATTAATGAAAGGTTACAGCTATCATAAATTCTTTGATCTCTGTTGTGACATTCACTTGTACGTCACTCAGGCGAGTCGTCAGCTTGTTTGTAAAAAAAATCTAACTATATTAATAGTAAAGATCAAATTAAAGGATTTGAAACACGATCTCTAAACTTTCAATGTTTGTGTTATGGATGATGAAGAAATGGAACTAGATGCTGACGTTGCACTAGTAGAGGACGAATGAGGTCAGGTCAATAAGCCTACGGTGGCGAATTTACTAGCTATTGAGAACAAAAGTATATTTACCAACGGCCGATCAACCGAAAAGAGCAACCGTCATATTAGGTAAACATTAAAAATGCCACAGACATCTTACTGAATTTATGACCTCTATGGTAGCTGTCATACGTTTTCATTCGAGGAGAGCTAAGGAATCATGCCACCGTGCATTGTAATTTCTCATCATTCAACAGATTTTATAAACATAGCTATTTGTGGCAGAAATAGGTAAGACAGAGTTACCCACGCAGATGAACTGAACTTTGATCTACTTAAGTAAGAATATAGTAAATAATTTGGATATACCGACACCTACACTTAATTAGCATTTAATAGAAAGAATAAGCTACTTTCCTGTAATTGATTTCCTTCTAGCCTCTTTGCAGTTAGTCATGATTTTTGTTCATGTTCCGATACATATAGCAGACGATAGTAAAGTATTGCCACGTCACGTGGGACACTAAAGAGGTAGAGGTAACAAATTTAAAGCTTTTTTTTTACACTTGTAGATCAACTTGACATAGCAAATATGTTAAATATATGGCTTACTAGTCTCAATTACTAGGAATCCTTTCCACGGCCCATTGAAAAATTCATATTAAAAATATTGACGTACGCTGAAGAAAATACGTCTATTTTTCTTCAGCACCCTTCCATACCGTAAAGTGTAGGAAACAGATACATGCTCCTCGTTGAAGTTCTGTTCGATCCAAGCGCTCTGCATTTTCGCTTCATTTGCAATCAGCAAAGCAGTGGAATTCTCTAACAGGCATTATTTCTCGCCTTATACAACAATAAATCTTCCACTGTTAATCCAGAATTTATTTGAGGTCCCGTTTAACAGCTTCAATAATATCGTCATTCCTTAGGTCAGTCATCAGTTGCGGAAAAGTTTTCCCTTCAAATAACTTGCCGGATGTGTTCTGATAAAGCCTTTAAAAATTTGATATCTGGCAAAGCCATATGAATCCATAAAATTGTCTGTTCTAATATAATATAATATAAGTAATTCTATTTTCTAGCAATTTAATCATAATTCTCTGAATGATGGTTCACAAAGGAGGAAGGTTCACAATCTATTCACAACTATATTGTTTTTTCCGTGGTCTTTAATTAGATTGTATATTACGGGTGTAACAGCTCATTTTTTTAATTCATCGAAGTCGTCTGTTTTTCCTTCTGTTCGGGTTCTGGGTTTCATTTAAATCTTTTTAATGCCTTTTCAAACTGAACTAGCTAGATTGTCTATTTGATATTTTGACTGATTTTAACATGTTATGGGCCCACACAATCCCAAATATGTATAGTTATACATTTGTTTTAAAAGCAAATGGCAAGTACAACTAGTAACTCGTTCATTCTTCTTAACGTAAAGAATTTGGAGGTGGAATAAAAAATTACAATCAAAATGTGCTTACCTTAAGTTTATTTATATAAACACTTAGTTCTGTTTACTATTTAGTAATTATTAAGTTATATTTATTCACAACCATTTAATTTGCCTGTGTAAGCTTAACTACAGCAACTGGAACATTTTTGGAAATCCCGTAAACTGTTTTCAATGGCGGCATTGTTCGGGAAAGTTCGCGACGCGAGTTTTTCAGCGAGTTACAAGAGAAACCACTTTCAGGGCTGCGCGTCACGCGTAATGGCGACGCGGCTGTAAGTACGTTAACTTTTTGAATAACAATTTTTTAAACGGAAATCTCTTAAGTAGAAACATTCTGAAACCATCGTTAATGACATGGAGACCTATATTATAAACTAGTAATGTGCAGATGGAATTATTAAGAGCTCCTTAATTTTGTTGAAAAAAAAATGTTATAAATGCAACTTTTCATTTTTTTGTGAAAATATATTATAATTAAAAGATCATATGGCCAATATAAAGTGCTATGTAGCTATATCGGTTGAGTACTTTTTGAGAGTATATTTATAAGAAATCAAAAATATCTTAATTATAATGTTAGTCTAGTTTTAAATAAATAAAAAGAGAAAGACCAAAGATCCAACTCTCTATCTTTTATATAGTTTTATAAACAAGCTGTCGGATCACCTGATGGAGAACAGGACACATTAAAAAATATTAATATCTCACAGCAATTGGATAATTTTATTACATACCAAGCTGAAATATCCCATGATGAAGCATCCAGTTCTTAGTGGTATGCAGAAACAGCATTTTGTGAAGAGTGGCCATGATTTTTCTGGTGTTGACATACTGAAACAAAATATTATTGCATTAGCATACATTTTTTATGTATTAATCTAGGATAACGGATAATATTTTAAGGAAGGTGTTGCATATAAATGTGGATGGTTAAAAGGGCAGCGCAAGGCCGAAAAAGAGATGGCTGAACTGTGTGAAAGACGATTTGGTAGAAAAGAAGAAAGATATATATTACAACGACACAAAATAAATGGGAAATGGAAGAAAATGATGATCTGTCTCCAAAACTCAATATGAATATCTCCAGTAGATTTTGCATGAAAAAGTAACAAGCACTCTTATTTTATGTAATTAAGATGGCGAACGAGCTAACGTCTCACCTGATGGTAAGTGGTAACCGTCACCTATATACAAGAACATCACGTTAACATGCAACTTGGAAGGAAATAGGCGAAACTGAGTCTGACCCACGCAGACGATTTCTTACAACGAAAAAAACAGCTCTACCCACGTCAAATACAGCATAATATTATTGTATCATAATATCTATATAGAATTATAATACTTGCTGACAAAATATCTTTATGTGGTGAAGAATAAAAAAAATACTAAGTACGATGGTGGAGTGCCCCAACCTCTGAATAAGTGGGAATAGTCAGTAATGTCGACTGATGACGCAATGTATAAAATCAAGTTGACCTGGACGCAGTTCTCCCTGGAAACCATCGTGATAAATTACTTAGTAGATTTATCACGATAGTCTAACTAATCTGACCTCATGCTCATCTTATCCTCACAGTTGCCAAAGGCGGTTGCCATTCCATCCATTAAAAAAATCTCATTCGGGACAACGGTCTGGATGACATAAAAAAAATCAGCCTTTATAATATTAGTATAGAAAATTAAAATTCTTTAATATACAAAGAAATGCGAATAAATTGAATCGCCATTTTGTGTTAGCTATTAAAGATTAAGAAAAAACGTACAAGGAAAAGTTAAACGAACCGGTTTTACTCCATATGCGCGGGCGCACAAAACTAAGTTATAAGGAAACATGAGCATATTCCATTCTGTATTTCCCAGAATCAAAACAAGACACTTAATGATATGTAGGTATGCAAAACTGATACAATTTGATACGGACATATGAGTAGCTATGCGAGTGTAATAATTTCGACGTAACATGGCATAGCGGTGTATTTTTTTTATTGCGCAATATTTTTTATGAACACTGTCTATTGGATTTACATTAAACCATATTGAAATGGTTATTTTTAAACAAAAACAACTTAAAATTCTACCTATGTAAAACCTGTACTGATTCAACTAGAACTTATAATACTATTGAGACATCTGCGAAAGAGTTCACTTACATGCAGACTTTGAACTTAATACATTATTTATATTATTAATCGGGTCTTATTTATTTATTTTAATTTTAATTCGTATTACATCCATATTGTGTTAGTAAAAAACTTATAAAACTATGTTCGTAACTTATAATATACATATACGTAGATATATTTAACTCATATAACTGTGTCCACGTCCAGAAGCACTGGGTCCACAATGCAACGTTATCCAGTGCCTCTGGAGCGGACAATCAGGTATATTCGCAACAGTTTTTAACACGAACTAATTTTAATACCGCGAGTGCTGTGTGTCGGGAACTTTCGTTGAACAATCTAGTGATGGTAGATGAAAAAACTGCTGTCATCTATACACATTGACATCGCTGTTACTCCAGTCAGCTCGTGACCACAGCTAGTGCAACCTAGTCGAAACGTGGAGAAAGGCAAATACCTTTATTTGCCATAAAATATAGTTCGTGTTAAGACCCGGTTAATAATATAAATAATGCATATTGAACTGAAATTAAAGTCGTTTACCTCACTTAAATGAATAAACATTAACATATATTATTACGTATATAAATATGTAAAACCCCATGCTGTAGTCTCTCGAGAAAACCTCGGCAGATAGTTTATTTCACAATCTAAGTCATCATCTGCTTCTTCCTTATCCCATTTATTTGTGGTCGGCGTAATATGTTTTTCGCTTCCATTCATCCCTGTTCGCAGTCATCGCGTTATTTACTTCCTTTCTTACCATATCATCTTTCACACAGTCCATCCATCTCTTTTTCGGCCTTCCTCTGCCCTTATAACCATCCACATTCATATGTAACACCTTTCTTAAAATATTATCATAATTATTTCGCAATCTATGTGCAATTCCAATTAAATTCGCCATAATGGGCTCACTAACCTGAGCTCATACTCATCTTGTTATACTCCACTGGTGCCCCACCATCGTAAACCGTTACCTCAGGGGGTTGAACCACTCTATCCTCTATGACCCATTAAAAAATATATATATAGTCTTTAGTGTTTTTTTGGGATATTATTAAATCTTATATAATAATATTATAAATGCGAAAGTTTGTGAGTATGGATGGATGTTTGTAACTCTTTAAAAACTACTGAACGTATGATGAAACTTTACAGTAATATAGCTTATAGATCAAAATAATAGATAGGCTATGATTTAAAAGGATATTATGCAATTGGGCGAAATATAATGATAAATGTTGCAGACGAAGTTGCGCGGGTCACCTAGTATCGTCATATATTGTAAAGTATGATTGAATACGGTTGCCAGTTTTTTTTATTTCATTTACAAAATTCGAAATCTTTTGTGTTTTATAAACTGAGTGATATTTCAAATTCGAAATTATTCACGCCATATGTTTAACAATAGAGTAATGTCAGTTTACATATTTGTATTCCGTAAATATTGTGGGTTTAGTGACGCTTAGACTATTGTATTGGAATGAATATTGTTTTTAAATATAAGATAATGCTTTTATTTACATTATTTCTTAATTACACGATTTTATCTTTCAGTTTATAAGTTAATGATGTACATATTAATAATAAAACAATATTTATTACTAGTATTATATAACCTAATTGTACAACTAAGAACCTAAAATGAAAAAGCTTAAAAAAATATATAATATGATGACTACAATATATTATTAAAAGGGGTACCTTTAGGCAACGTTCCGAAGATACTGGCAGCGTTCCCTCTTTGAATAGCTAGACTTAAGATTGTAAGATCTTTTTGTATTTATAATAATAAATGTGTTTATTATAGCTTCATTGGCACATTTATTTTCTAATTTAATTTTAGTAAACATCTTAAATTTTTATTAAAAAAAACAATCATCCAATCCAGCGCGGCACATCGAGGTAGCGTACCTAAGATACAGGCAGTGTTGCCTCTTTGAATGGCCATACTTTGCCTCTAGCAAAGTACCAGCTACCAGCTCTCGGGTCACAAGTAACCGATGAGCCGCACTGAAATACTTGTCGCTTCTGTGCCTATGGAGCACGGACGCGTGTTATTCTTTCACGCAAAAACTACTGAACGGATTTTGATGAAACTTTACAATAATATAGCTTACACATCAGAATAACACATAGGCTATAATTTAAAAAAATATTTATTTTTATTCCGCAAAATGCTAGGTTCCTGTAATATTTTGGTAGTCATATGACATAAGAGTATAGTATACAGAAACACTCAGTCTTCACACGCGTAAGATTACGGAAGTAATCCAACATTGCAATTGGAGTGTAAACAATTAATTGTCCGCTATAGTATATCAAGTTGAGTAATTTAGAAGTTTATAAAAATCGCAATGGACTAAAATTTGTTAAATTGTTCATGACACGCGTTGAGGAAGTATGTATGTATGTACGTACATGAATGGTAGATGGTAGAACGAGGTTGAATTATACACGCGTGTGACCATATACGCCTAACCATTGTTACCAATCAGTGTTACCATTTTCCGCGAAAGTAGAAAACGAGATTTAATAGTTTTTTACACAGGTGGAGCAAACGCCAGCTGATACGATAAGAGGTTTTGCAATTAGCACAGCAAATAGAGAGCATTGTGACCTAGTTGTTTAATACCTATATTTATAAAAAGGTCATAAGTTCGTATCTGGTCGACACATTTTTTTTTATACGAAAATATATGTCAATTTGTTTTCGACTGACGATACAGTAATGGAAACACCGATAACAAACAATATTATCTTTATTATTCAAAGTAAGTTAGGCACAAGCTTACAATCTTGTTTGAGCGGGACAACCAGAGGGACAGCCCTCTGTCAAACATAGCCAGCGAAATGTAATGAAGCCAATTGTCTACCTAAAGAGTTGATAAAATATTATCTACTAGATGTGCCCGCGACTTCGCGTAAATCGTCGATACTTCCATGTAACCTTTCATCTCCCCTTTCAACCCCTTACAACCCTTTTTTCTGATTAAAAAGTAGCTTATGTCTTTTGTCAGGTTCTAGACGATATGTGTAGCAAATTTCATTTAAACCGCTCCTATAGTTTTGGCGTGAAAGCGAGACAAACAGACAGACAGAGTTACTTTCCCATTTATAATATTAGTAAGGAAGTAAGGATTCACTCCATCTGTATAGCAATTGTGAAACTGTAGTCTAATATTTATTTTTAATAATTATACTATCAGTACATAGTACAAAACAGTCGCTGTCGCTGTCTGTCCGTCCCTATGTATGCTTAAATCAACGCAAAGGATTTCGAAGCGGTTTTTTTGAATAGATAAAGTGATTCAAGAGGAAGGTTTATATGTATAATACATCTGTATAATACTCATCATAATGTATAATACTCCCGGGCGAAGATGGGGCTAGTAGCTAGTTCTTAAATATATGTAGATAAAATTGTATAGTCAGTTTGTAATAACAAATGAACAGCTTCTCACTAAATCATATGAGTATTAGGGAACTTACATCAAAAAATAAATTTATATTAATGTTGTCTGGCTATATGTACGTTTGTTAGTTCTTGCTAACCTCTGACCGGTACTCGTTCACAGATAGCTCTAGCTATTTTAGAAATCTTATTTACTTTAATAAAATAAAGTTAGTTTATATAAGTACTTATATATAAAAACTTATTACATTTTATATTATTTACTATTATAATAAATATAGAACTATAAATATTTTACGATACACCGTAGCTATATATATATATATATATATATGCAAATACATAGTTTAACATTATCATAGCATGCACACATAACATGTACGTAGATAATGTATAGTAGGTAGGTATATACAATTATATGAATCGGTCAACCGAATAATGATATACAGTTTGACCCCTTCATTGTACGATGTCACAACGAATGTAGGGGTCTTTGTTATTGGATAATAATAACACAAGAAGCAGTTAGCTGCAGAGTAATAGTAAATACCACGGCTTTTCCCACGAGTGGACAACCTCATTTGATATTACTGGGAATTGCCAGAATTTTTTAGTTAATTCAAACATGACAAATTAGCGTAATATTTGGGTTTGTTTGGAAGACTTGCGATTATGGGGTTCCAACCCGAACCATGTTCCATCTCCTATCCTACTCTGTGTCCAGGGTTTTCCTTTGTAAACCAAGGAAAACCTGAACAAGGCGACCGATTGTGCCATTATAGTTGCTAAGTTCCAGTCAAAACATATTTAAGTTACTATTGACACGGAACAATAAGAGAAATGTTGAATGCGATTTATTTTTGTAAACAAACTGACGGAGCAACTCTCCGCTTACGCTACCATGCGAGAAGACTAAATTTGTATGTCTTTTTCAATAGAAATATAGTATTTTTTCTTTCTTTCTTTTAACAAATAAAAGTCATCTTCTATAAGATTGTTTTTAAATCAATGATAATGGAATGCTGCACCTTTCTGCGTCAACTGTTTACACTGGGCCACCAGTGGAGGATGATAAGTCGTGATGGTTTCCAGGGGGACCGCGTGGAGGCCAACCTGACATTGTACATTGTTAGCAATGGGAACAATAGCTCAATAGCAGTCAATACCAGTCCACAGTGCTAACAATCCACTTCTCCCTAATAAGAAATTATTCTAGTCTCACACATATAACTTTTAAACCCGGGCAAGTGAAAACCCGCCGGGTCTGTCCCCGGACGACAAATCCGGGGAAAACTGTCCAAGTTGCCATCCATCCGGATAGCATGCATATTACAAGATTACCTAACTACCTACTATTTTCTGAAATTCCTAATTAATAAATGATTAGTTTAAGTTAACGAACAAGTAGTGTTTAAGTAATTATGTACAATAAATACACTTTAAAATAAACACGTGTTTTAAAAGATCAAATCTTGTTAAAACTTTTCCGACGTTTATAAGTGAATTAAATCCAAAATGGCTGACTTTATGCTCCGCCTAAACCTAGGCTCACATTATCAGGTTTAAACCTGACGATTCCTGCCAACGATGCCGTTCCATTGCCGCGGGACAGCAATTAATGCATCAAGAGGGGATTGTTAGTAATGAGGTCTAGTGTCCCAATTGCTAGCAATGTACCATGTTAGGTCGTCACTACTCGTCACTCGGTTCCCCCTGGAAACCGTTGTGGTTATTACCTGGTTATTTAATAACGATGGACAAGCTGACCTGACCATGGGCATCTTATCATCCTCCACTGGTGCCCCGTCAGCGTAAACCCTTAGCGCAGGCGGGTGCGCCATTCCATTATCATCCATAAAAAATTAATGCACCAATCGAACAGCGATGACACGGACCGTCCGGCTTTTATCGGTAATATATAGGAACCCTTATTTCATTCCTTCCTCACCTACACGCTAAATAATATTCTAAATACGAAAGTGATTGTATGTCACGCTTTCGCTACTTACAATTCTTTTACGAAGGACCATGTCTTAAAGAAAGTATTTAACATGAAACTGGGTGGATGTAAAGAGAGATGACGGGAAGGAATAAGGGGGAATGTGACCCCATAGCTAGCAATGTACCATGTTAAACCTCCACTCGGTTCCCCCTAGAAACCATCGTGATATTCCTGGTGAATTTGTCACGATGGGCTTACTGATCTGACCTCATGAACTTATCATCCTCCTCTGGTGCCCAACCAGCGCATACCGTTAGCACAAGTGGGTGCACCAATCCATTATCATACATTAGAGAAAAGGGTGGACGACCAAAAGACGGATCGACTCTGTGAAAGATGAGATGAGAAGTGTAAGCTCAGATTTGACGGCCAATGGGGACTGTAGAAGTAGATAACATACTGCGGTGACCCCAAATGAAGGATGGCAAAGCAATGATGAGCATCCCAATAAGTTAGATGTATCATATACTAGTAGTATAAAAACAATTAACAATAAACTATTTGATTGAATTATTAATTAAATTGAACTTTTTACTTGAAAAATACTATTATCATTTGTACATGTATAGTATATTTGTATATATAGTTCACTACTAGAGATATTCAATGCTAGAGAAAGTGTCATCAATGACGTCATTCTATTCCGTGCACTTTCTACACATGAACAAACTTTATACATATATGTATATTTAGTTTTGAGTTTCAACCACGAAATTTAATGTTAGACATAGACTCCTATATAAATATAATAAATAAACTGGTATTTAAAAAGAAAAAATAAGTAATTTAATTAAGTTCCTTGCCAGTTCTTATCAATTGGATCTATATACTGAATTAGACGGTAGGAAAAAAAAATATATAAACAAAAAATACGTTAAAATGTCCTACAGGAATATTTTTTAATTTGAATTTCAAACCACGTTGGTTTCTAGGGAGAACCGGCTAGGTTGACCTAATAACACATAGCTAGCAATGGTGACATCAAACCCCATTACTAACAACCCCCAACTCAATTATTGTAAACATACAAATAAAGAAGGGAATGTGATTGTTAGTAATGTACACTAGTGATCTCATTGCTAGCAATGTACCATGTCGGGTTGACCTCCACGCGGTTCCCCCTGGAAACCATCGTGATAAATTCTTGGAGAATTGTCAACGATGTGCTAACTGAGCCGATATCATGCTCAAATTATCATTTTCCTCTAGTGCCCCGCCAGCGTAAACCGTTAGCGTAGGCGAGAGCCCCAATTCATTATCATCCAATAAAAAAAACATACAAATAGATGGGGAAGGGAATTGTTAATAATTTGGATTAATAACTCCCAACCTCCTCCAGGTACCCCGTCAGTATATACCGGTTTTTTTTTAATTTAGAATCTGTTTGATGTACTCTATGATTCAGCGTTTGCGCCTGTGGTTTACGCTCGCTTCAGCAGAGTTGAAACGGATTTGAGAAGTTATGATTTTATTGGAAGTAAAATTTGGATTGTGTTATTGTGATATATACTTAAATTTTTATTAATATAAGAGAACATAAAAAAAATAACGAAGACAATCTAAAAAATATAAAACAGAAGTAAAAGAACAAAACAAAACAACAATGAAGGTAAAACAAAACAAATAACAAACGTTAGCGCAAGTGGCTGCATCATTCCAGTATAAAAACATACAGTTACCCAATTAACAAAATCAGTCTTACATCAATCAGCAACATAGCAGACTATATATATATCCCTGCATGCACAACTCATTTGAGAACATAAAGAATGAGCAATCAGTAAACTCGATGACCCGGTCAATATTAAATCACAAATATTATTATTACTTTTGATTACTATCGCCAAAATCAGTTTTGGCTTAGCGAATATACCGCGCAATATAGAATACACAAAAACTCAGTCGCTTGTACAAGAACATCATTTTTTGTTTTAAAAACTCGTTCCAAACACGCCACGTAGGTATCAACATTTGTAAATGCAGACATTGTAATTCGAAACTCAAAACAGTGTCCTATTGTCAAATACAATAATCATAATAACAACCTGATCAATTAAATAATAGTTAAAACTCACTTGTCGTAAGGTATAGTTGTCCCCGCCATTTTTGTTTTTTTTAAACAGAACGCAATAAACAATAAAAATATCAACTGGGAATTTCGCAAGCGACGCGCGCGCACTGCTCCGTCCGCGGTAAATATTGAACTGAAGTGAGTGACAGAGAGAACGATTGAGAATGTGAAATGTCTCTCACTCCTAAGTTCCAATGTAATGTCTATTGACCATGACATGATGCATGGTGTAGCCGACAATGGTTTTTTTTTAATGTTACCAATGTAAATAATATTGTCACCTAACCTGAATAATCAGAATAACCTCGTATATAAAAAAACGTGAAAGTGATAAGGCATATCGTTGTTTTTAATTACTAAATTATTTATAGTCACGATTGTATTTTACGTATAATATTTAAATAGCACATGTATTCTGTTATACATATAATATAGTATAAATAATAAAAAATAAAATTATATTTGTTAAAAAAATATTAAATTTATTTTTTCAAGCTTAATTATAATTATTATAAATATCGACTTAAAACTACAGCAGTAATAAGGTATACAATTATTTAAACAGAATAATAAATATTAATAAAAATAAGTAATATAAGTTGGTGGGTAGATACTTCATTTTTCGAATGATGGTGGTGAAACAGAGCACTCTTAATACTAAATAAATATTATAAATTTTGGAAAATCGACTTTTAATTTATTACTATTAAAGTAGAATTTTCATAATGGATAATTTTGTACTTAATGCAGTTTAGTATTAAACATGAGATATGATGGAATTTTTTTAACCGTCACCATAACCTCAAAACATTGTGGCGCTTTAATTTTACATTACAAACTTAACATTAATATTTTAAAATATACTTAAGTTTAATATTTTTCAACAAGAACAGGTTAAACTACAGGTTATATTAAGACAAAAATTCAAATTATTGAAATTAGATTTTAATGACAAACCATTAAAGACGATTTTTGAGTTTATACATTATAAAAAGTTTGTTTTCGGACTACTCTAATGCTGTTGGCCGCAGCTGGCCTTTACAACTTCACCGGACAATAGGGGCAAACCAAAGAAAGGACTTATGGAGCGGCTGAAGGCTAACTCCCGAGTGACTGATACGACTTTAGTCTGAGAGCACCGCTAGGGGTTCGAACATCGGCTCATGCCGTCGTATTTTCGATCGCCGTTTGAAGTCGATGGGGGATCGATCGGAGGGGATTGGACGGGGATCAACCACAGATACAAATAAATGAAGTGTGGGATATATTACAGGCTTAACATTAATATTTAAACTTTACTTAATCCTAAAATTTTTCAACAACAGTCTTTTCCTCAATTATTGTCGGATAGTATTGGGGTACAGTGTTCTGCATATTCCGAGCGTCGACAATATAAATTTTTAACAGCTCCTTGTACTCCAACTGCTTGACATACGAGTAGTAGATCAGGGTAAAATACGCTGTTAAAACTGTAAAAAGAAAGAGAGAAATTATCATCTGCAATCAGAATTACAAAGTCCAATGAAATTTTCAAACGATAAGTAAGAGATCACTTCCTTAACGTTTGAAGTTAATTGTCTTTTAATCTGGCATTTTATTCATATATATGTTAACTTAATCATAATAATATTATACGGAAGTTTGTTTGTTACTCTTTCACACAAAAACTACTGAACGGATTTTGATGAAACTTTACAGTAATGTTGCTTATGCATCAGAATAACATATACGCTATATATTTTTAATTTAACGCAGGTAAAATCGCGGGCACAGCTAGTTTGTTATATATGTATGTATATATTGTATACGTATGTATAATTTATGTTTATATTTTATTATAAATAACATTATTTTCCTTATAGATAGTTAAATAATCTATCTATCTATATAAGGAAAATAATGGTATTTATTTGCTTGAACATTTACAGTATAGTTCTTACAAGTGTTTGAATTTGAATATCGCACTGAATATGAAACTAACATTTGTACCTAGAAATGTTCGCCTGATATTCAAAGGGCATGCAAATTACAATTATTAATGACTTACAAATTAATAAACAGAAGATTATCTGTTAAGACAATTCTCGCAAAGTGTAACAGTATTTTTTACGAGTCATTTGTGTAGTTCTATTTTAAAATGGCATCTCTTGAATTAACCGATTTAACCGATTAGTCCGAAAAAAATATACCGTATATATTTTTCGGGCTACTCTAATGCTGTTGTCCGCAGCTGGCCTTTACAGCTTCACCGGACGGTAGGGGGCGAGTGCAGATGGCACTCCAAACCCGCGGAAGGACTTACGGAGCGGCTGAGGGCCAACTCCCGCCTGACGGATACGGGTATTGTATTATAACTATATATTTATTTATTTATTCTTTGCACACAAAATTGTATACATGGCGGACTTAATGCCTGATGGCATTCTCTACCAGTCAACCTACATATTTGTATGGATCTGACATGAGAATTTTCTGCAAGTTAGTTCTACGCAGTGTCATTTGTAGTTTAGTTGGGTTTATTTAAGTAAGTTTGCTATTGTCGTTTACTTCATCGTATAAATATGGTATTTTTGTTTTTTTTTATTTATTTATTCATTTATTTCAGGCTACATGGCCCATATTATTTGTTACTTGTTATTTCTATCATTATATTTACTTATTGCTATTTGCAACAGCCATCATCTCCTACAATTGTATTGGTTACCCTAAGGTTATATTATGACTAGAGCCCTCACAGGACACTGCAAATTGAACAAACATATGGAAAACTTAGGCCTATGCACAACAATAATCTGCAGATATTGCCAAACTGAAGAGGAAACGCCACTACACATCCTATGTGGTTGTAGCCTACTCATGCATAAACGCAATATCTCCTTTGGAAAGTTTACACTCTTTCCTGAGGAGATGAAAACCATCGCTCCTAAGAATATCCTTCATTTCTTGTCCCTGACGGGTCTAGGCAGCGAACTCTGAAAAAGGGCGAGCCCAATAGATCTACAATCAGTTATCTAGTACCCATAACATAATCGTGGGACTAGTTGGAACTGTGTTAATTATCCATGCTTATTTATTTTATGATTTTATTTTATTTTATATTTGTGAATAAAGAATATTATTATTATAATACAAATCAAAGGTAAACATACCAAAATTAAATATTTCGACGACAAATATGGACAGCTCTGATGAAGTGAGGTAGGTAATTCTAAGCATAATTAATATCATCCTTATAAAAGCAAATACGAGGTAGACTCGAATGAGGCCGACGCGGTTCTGTAGAGAAAAAAATAATAATATTATAAACGCGAAAGTTTGTGTGGATGTTTGTTACTCTTTCACACTAAAACTACTGAACGGATTTTGGTGAAACTTTACAGTGATATTGCTTATCAGAAATAGAATCAGCACATAGGCTATATTTCATATTGAAATTAAACACGGGTGAAGCCGCGGTCACAGGTAGTACAAACCAATCAAAATATAGGTAGACATAAAAAAAAACCACCTGTTGTGCCTCTGCAACCAGTAATTCACTGCTTTATTTTTATTTAGACGGCCTCGAAGGTCTAGTGGTTTAGCACGCCGCTTTACTTCCTATCGTCGCGGGTTCGATTCCTCGCACGGCACAAACAATGATATTTATGAGTATGATTCTTTGTATCTGGGTGTTTTCTATGTATTTTATGAAAAAAAATCTATGTATCAGTTTCAATTATCCATAAAACTTTAGCTAGTCAGCTTTTTAGTGGAGTTTTAATACAATTACTGTGACACGAGAATTAGAAATATTTTTTTTACTATTTCATTGCGAGCTTTTCGTGACAAATATATTTTCAAAATTATTCATATTTAGGTTTTTCTTAAATAAAATATTTGCAAAAGTATAAATAAGTAAAAAAAAATATTAATACAAAAAAAAAATTACGTTCATAACCAGCTAAATATTATAAATTATTTTTGAATTTATTTTATTTGAATCGCAGTATGTTTATAGGATGATTTAATACTAACCATATGAAGTCCAACCAAGCAGATGATATTTACAATAGCCCAGACTACGCACATCGATAAACCAACGGCGAGAATTATCTCGGCTTTCGTTAACTGGTCTTGCATACGTTCTTCAGAATACTCTGGATTAAGTTTAACATCAATACCAAAGGGCACATCGAAGTGATCAAAGCCATGAGTTGCTTCGCTAACCATAATTGTGTAATAGGTAATATATACCAGACTTAGTAATGTGTTAACCTGCAAATAAATATATTAATTACTATTTATATTAAAAATAATTTACATTAAAAATAATTTACAAAATAAATTTTATGTATGCAAATGTTAACACTTTTTTAGAATAGAATAGAATAGAAAATCATTTATTCAAATAAACTTAATTTAAGCACTTTTGAATAGTCAACATTTTTTTAAATCTACCGCTTATTCGGAAAGCTGTCTCATCACAAGAAGAATAAACAAGAAACTTGTGTGTTGCTCTTTTAAACAATCCTTGTAAGTTCACATTTTACAAGTCGAAACGTGTGAATACAAACCACCAACCAGCACTAATTTATTTAGGCTCAAATATAAAAACACAATAAGATTAAATCAGTCGTAGTGATAAGAGCAGACCAGTCCCTACAAGCAGCACTCGTTCACGAGTATGACGGATGAGCCAGCCATCACTGCGCTCGACCATATTTTAGGGAGCCCAATGACCCGGCCCACCACGCCGCCATATGTCTGGACATTTTAGTGAGCATGACTACTCATTCCACTCGACCACGTCACAGCTACAAAAATTACTATATGGTAGTGACAGTATTCGCACTTTACATGAGGATGCATGCGGCAATCAATACAAAAGCCGCTACGCTAACATATATCAAGAAAGCAGTATGAAAAACAAATTATAACGTTGTCCGCAAATAAACTTATACTTGCTATATATTGCTATCATCTATAAATTCATCTATCCTATAATAGGCTTTTTTATTTTGCTAAATAAATGTAAATATACATTTTTTTAGCAAAAAATGTATATTACATTTATTTATTATTGTTGTCATTATCTATACATCTATACATATAAATAAAATTGGAGTGTCTGTTTGTAATATTGAAATAACCGTTTTTTACCACATGCATATAATATAAATATACACCGATATAAAAATTTTTTTAACAATTTTTGTTTGTCTGTATGTCTGTTTTTTTGTTCCGGCTAATCTCTGAAATGGTTGGACCGATTTTGGCAGGTAGCTGATGTAATAATGAGTAACTTAGGCAACTTTTATTTTAGAAAAATAAAGTTAAATTCAGAACAGCTAGTTATATATATATTTATCATTATTATTATTATTATGAGCACACAAAATGAATATTTTAAATCACATTTTTCATTGCTGCTCCGCTCGTATAGATCGTTATGTTATATATTATAGCTTATATGGGTTATGTTATATAGCATATAGCATTTTGATATAATTATAATTTTTTTTTTTAATTTCTAACGGTGAACGAATTTTTAAAATCCGATCAGCATAACCGGAGATAACCCCGAACAAACAAACATAGAAACTTTACCTCTTCATAATAGAAATAGAAGTAATCTTCATTCAAATAAACTTTACATAAGCATAGTTGAATATTCATATTTTTTATTCTACCACTCATTCGGAACGCAGACTCATCACAAGAAGAATGGGCAAGAAACTTGTGTGTTGCTCTTTTATATAAATATGAACAATCTTTATATAAAAGAGCAACACACAAGTTTCTATATGTAACAAGGATTAGGCATGCGACAATCAACATAGAAACCGCTACGCACTCAATCTTTGTCCAATCAAATAACTTTGTCAGCGTTATTAATTTTAAATTTGAGTTTTTTTTACAAATTTTAGTACAGATTCCAATGAGTATATACTCAATATTATATTCATGAGGTAACATATAATACAGTATTGAGTATGCAGTCCACGGCTCTGTAGAAAACTGCTAGAGAGCACAAATTACTATCGCCGAGGAATGAACGAGGCCGTAATATCACAATTTCAATATAGTAGTTGGACAGTTTTAATTAGAATATTGTTAAATTCATATTAAATTTATAAAATGTAACTATGTTCTTATAATAATAATAATAATCTTTATTTGTCTCAAACAAAAACTTTTTACACAAAACAACTGTTGCCCATATAATAATATAATTTAAAAGTAATGAATGAGACTAAACGGTGAGGTGAACTATAAATCAGTGAGGGCAGTGAGTCCACCCTCTCTGCTATTCTGTTATAGCCTTTATCAGTAAAATAATACAATATGAGATCAACGACGACGATAGCATATTAAGTTAAGTTGTAAAGTACAACTAACAAAGTAAACATAAAAATTGACAATAACAAGACTACTAACTAATAAGATTGGACAATAACAAACTTAAATATATATAATCTAAACATTATTCAGGATATTTTATCATATATACCATCATGTAAAATGTGGTTTTGCAGCTTTTTAATTATAATTAGTAAATTAATTTTACTAATTATTCTAAATGTAAACGTAAATTTGTGAGTATGGATGGATAGATGGATGGATGTTTTTTTATTATACTACGTAGGTAGATGGCCAATCTGATGGTAAACGGTTATTGTGGTCGGTGGACGGTGGACGCCTTAAACAGCAAGGGTGTCGTGCATTGCCGACCCTAACCCTTGGTGCACATTCACGCAAAAACTACTGATCGGATTTTGATAAAACTTTACAGTAATATAGCTTATACATTAGGCTATAAATTTCATGCGGGAGAAATCGGGGGCACAGCTAGTATATTTAAAAATTTCAGTCTTTCCTATTTCAGCCATCAAGGTGCTTTATTCTAAACAAAAAAAATACGTGTTAGTCCTTTTGAGTCACAATGATGATTGGCATCATGGGTATGATATGATAACGTGATGTACATAGTGGAACTCATGTATACACGCCACAGTTACCGTTTGCCATCAGATGGCCTCAGCTTGTTTGGCATCCCAATTATGTAGATAAAAAAAACTAGAGAATTTAGTAGGTTAATGTATATCTTAGACATTCCTAGAGCACTCTTCAGTTCAAATTCAAAATATCTTTATTCATCTATGTCTATTACATTCTTATGATATGTCAAATCTACCGTCAGTTCGGAATGATTTCGAGATAAGGACTGTTCAGGTTGCGAACATTGATTAGATTTTTTGTTTTTTCCAATAGCACACTTTATGCTGGTGGTCACTCTATTTCTCCCAAAAATGAATTTAAATGAATCTGTATGTTATTGTAAATATTTGAATTTGAATAAGAAGAACTGACAAGAAACTCAGCTCGTATTCTTTTCAAATAAATGTTGTACATATTTACAATAATACAGATTCATTTATAAATTCAAATTTGGAAAAATAGTGTTACCACCAGCATATGCCATTGCAAAAACAAATAGTCTATTCAGTGTTAGAGATGTGTCAATCGAGTTAACTCGAGTTGCGCATAATTCGAGTTACCTCGAGTTGAATTCTGCCAACTCGAGTTAGAAGAATTGGTAAATGAACGAATCAAGTGAAAGAGCGAGAGCATGATTCTGTAATCGAACCGACAATGACATGATATTTTCCGATCATTTTATATCATACAATTTTCACTCGTCACAAATATTTCTGTATTGATTTGAGGTTGTTATAATTTTCTTTTCGCATATTCGTCCGATTATGTTATAATTAAAATGATTATGCGTTCTATAAGTCCTTCCGCGGCTTTAATGCCCTTTCTACTCGCCCTCTATAGTTCGGTGAAGCTTTCAAGGCTAGCTGCGATCAAAAACATTAGAATTGTTTGAAATAATAAAAAAAACTTTTTATTCCAGGTAACTCGAGTCGATTCAAGTTAACTCGAGTTACCTGAATTTCAACTCGAGTTAACTCGACTCATGTTGATTACGAGTTAGCACATCTCTAATCAGTGTTAACCCGAACAGACCAGTCCCCACAAACTTCTCAATAATTATCTTAGTCTATAACGTTGTTATATGTGGATTTAAAACATATAGATACCAAATTCAAGTAGCCCAAAATAAAGCATCCTTTTCGTATAGGAAAACAAAAGCAGCAAGTTTTGATGTACGGCTTCGGTAGACTCGGCTTGTTACTGAAAGAGAATTATGCCCGAGTTAGAGAGAGAAAGAGATGAAGAGAGTTTTTTTTGGATGATAATGGAATGGTATACGCGCCCGCGCTGACGGTTTGCGCTGGCGTGGCACCAGTGGAGGTGATAAGATGAGGTCAATATGACAAACAGGTCAGGTCAGTTAGCCCAACATGACAAATTCACTAGGAATTTATCACGGTGGTTCAAGGGATTACCGAGTGGACATCAACCTGGCGTGGCGCGTCATCCTGACAAGGTATATTGCTAGCAAAAAGATCAACAATCCCCTTTCTCCTATTGGACATTTGTTACTCTTTCACGCAAAAACGATACTGAACAATTTTGTGATGAAACTTTACAGTAATATAACTTATACATTAGAATAATACATAGGCGAAATATTTCAAGCGAGTGAAAACGCTAACATCTAGGTTGGATCCCACATTTCAACATTTTTTACACGTAATTTGTATTTCTTATTGTACATAATAAGTGTACAATAAGAATATACCTACCTATCTTTATATAATTAAGTAGTGTATATAATTAAGTATAATAGTTTTAAAATAGAAAAGTGTTGGCAATTAGTTGTATGTTTATATTGTACTAGCTGTGCCCGAGGTTTCACTCCCTTAAATTTCAGTATAAAATATAGCCTATGTGTTATTTTGATACATAAGCTATATTACTGTAAAGTTTCATCAAAATCCGTTCAGTAGTTTTTGCGTGAAAGTGTAACAAACATCGATACTTACAAACTTTCGCATTTATGATAAATTTTATTAACAAAATCGAAACGGAGCCGTAACTTTATCAATATTATACATTTTGCAATCTTATAAGGAAAACTGAATACGAAATCCGTTAATGTGCTAATTTTTTAAATGCGGGCCGTGGTAGCTACAAGGAAAACATGCAGATACTGTTAACCGACTTTAGAAAAAGAGATTATTTTTAATTTATAACACTTTATTGTACTAAGATTGAAATATGAACAAAATTTAACAACTAAATACAGAAGCCGTAACCTTGGTATCAAATGGCAAGAACTTTTTTACTGAGTCAGTAATTTAAGTCGATCTAGAAAGTGTTCGCTTGAAGTGAATCCCTGTTTTTACATTTTTAATGTACATGGTAGGTGTTCTGTGGGGGAAGGTGATTATTAATAATGTGAACTAATAACCCCATTAAAGTACAATGTTAGGTTGACCTCCACATGTCTCCATCTGGAAACCATTGTGATAAATTCATGGTGAATTTTTTAAGATGGGCTAACTGACCTGAACTCATGCTCATCTTATCATCCTCCACTAGTGCCCCATCAGCAGACGGGTGCACCATTTCATTATCATCCATAAGAAGCTTTACCATTAAAAACGATCCGTGGGATAGAACTCCTATTTATTCTAGAGATATAATGGGAACTACCTATGATAATGACTGAAGTTTTTTGAAGGATTAACAATTAATCCGAAATAAATGAAGACTTAATGAGAACATCAAGTACGTACCACAATTTGATATTCTCAAGTTACTTTAGATATTCTCAAAACATGATATTTTCTTATATAGATAACAACGTTTGCATCTACCCTCCAAGTACAAAGCAGAACTTGTGTTATAGCTTGATTGATATACTTAGATACATTTTTTTGTAAATACATACATAATATACATATAAAACACACAGAACAATACAAACAATCATATTCATGAATACAAATATTTTGAATTTTTCTTACGTTTTAAATTGCACAAGATGCAAGAAAATTTCAAAAATACTGTCTGGTTTATATTTATATTATTATTACATATATATGTCAGTCTATATGTATGTGTATAATATTGGCAATTAGACTGAAATGAATAAATAAAAACAATTATGAATTTGTGACAATATAAAAGCAAACAACCCCTTGTTTGCTTTTATATTGTCACAAATTCATAATCCGCCAGCTATTATTATTCTTGTAGACCCCGTCTACAAGAATAATGGAATCAACAGTTTTAGTAAAAATAAAAACAATAAAGTTAATAACTCAAAAAGTATATATACTGGAGAATTAAGAACTCCCTTTACACCAGAGGTTGACTTTTTACAAAGTCTTTTGAGTGGGTACCTCTGCCTCACCCATTTCAATGTGTTTCTTTTAAACTGTGTTTCGGTTGAAGGTTTCATCCGTACCCTGTAATTTCACTGCCATATCCCATATAGCAGTGAAATTACAGAGTACAGACGCATAACATTTTAGTCCAGGGGAAAGGGGATTAGTAATGCAGACCGATGACCTCATTTCTAGCAATGTACCATGTCATGTTGACCAACATCCGGTTCCAAGCATCACGATGAATTCCTGGTGAATTTGCCACGATGAGCTAACTGACCTGACCTCATGTTCATCCTATTATCCTCCACTGGTGCCCCGCCAGCGTAAACTGTTAGAGCTGGCGGATGCATCGTTGTATTAAAGAGAATCAGCTTAGTCACGCTATTCTTCTACTGCAAATCTCCTCTAGATTTATTAAGAATAGCGTGAGTTATTACGACCGCCACATGTGTATGTAGACGACGAGGCTATCACTTAATACAGGTAACCGGTAGCTTACTTTCCATTCAATTTTCATTAAACTTTCTCACCGTACACACACATATACATTAAATATATTACGCCAAGTATAACAAATAAAAAATAAAACAATACAAAAATAAAAGAAATACAACTCACTTGTTACAAGGGTTTTTAGTTCCACTCATTTTAAAATGAATTCTAGAGGAAACAACTTACAACAAACGTGATTTTTTAGCAAATGAACCTTACGCACGCTTCAACAACTACGATTGAATGAAACTAAGTTACTAAACCGGACCTGTTGCAACGTATATACTGAATACTGAGTAACTAGTACGTCACTTAGAACGAAGTACCGTATTGTTAGTTCAGAATTGCTGTAGTTGTTTTACTTAGAACAACTACTGACAATATCGGAATGGATGAATTGGGAACGGCGTACCGACCTGTGCTAACTAATATAATAAAACAATATTGGATAATGATAGGACGAACATGAAGTAAGGTCAGTATCCAATCTTGTCGCATACAACTCAAATTAAACACGATGTTTCAAATACACCGCTTTACAACCGATGGTCGCGGGTTCGATTCCTATCACGGCACAAACAATTGTATTCATGAGTATGATTGTTTGAATCGATCTGGGTGTTTTCTATGTATAATAATGTATTTACAAAAAAAAATCTATGTATATGTATCAGTTATCTAGTACCCATTACACAAGCTTAGCTAGCTTAACTTGGGTCTAGATGGCGCTGTGTGAATTGTCCTGATTTTATTATATATTATTATTATTATTATTAATAGGGACCACATGGATGTCAACGTAACATGGTAATTTGCTACCAATTGGTCAACGAGAACCCATTACTAATATGTAGCTCTTCAGTAAAGTGAATATTTGTAGTTAATAAAAAAAAACACCAAACACCCAAGCCAAGAAGTTAGCCGCCCTTGCGATATCAATTAATCAAAAGTAACTAGTAACGTAACACTATAGTAACGAGTACCCATTATTTAGTAACTAGTACGTAGGGTACACCAAATATCGTTACATTTACATCTCTAAAACACAGTGCCATCTATGAAAACAATTTGAAAGCGTCAATACAAAATTAATATAAAGCTGTGCTTTCCAATGTTGCCAGATTGGTTTTTTACCACTAGTACTGGTGGATTTGACCTCGCCATTGGTAGACAAAATTGAATACTTTAATAAATTACACGAATGTTAAAGTCCAGTCGTTACTTATGTTTTCAGTTAAAAAATAAATGTTGATATCGTTATTAATTTCGTGTTCCTATAAGATATTAAAAACTACTACTAGGTATATACCTAGTAGTAGTTTTTAATATCTTATTATATTAGTAAGATATTATTCGCTGATAATATTATCAGCGAATAATATCTTACTAATATTACAAACGCGAAAATTTATGAGTATGGATGGATGAATGTTTGTTACTCTGTCACGCAAAAACTACTAAACAGATTTTGATGAAACTTTACTCTAATATATTATAGCTAATACCTTAGGCTATAATTTAAAGAAATAGTATGTAAATTAGTTGAAATATAATAATAAATGTCAGATAGGTATAATACAGACGAAGTTCCGCGGATCAGCTAGTAGTCTATAGTCAACACAGTCAGTGCGACAGGACACATTAATAGAAATAGAGTTTATCTTTACTAGAATTCATTAGAATTAGATTTTGATGTAAATTTATGAAATATTTTACAAAGAAAGTATGATGAAATTTCATACACCCATTTAAAACGACAAACATACTGTTGTCCATAGATTTATATTATGCTAGTTTAGTTAAAATTTGTTGATTTTTCATTTCATTGACAAACGCCTGATGAAGTTTCTATTGCAATGATTTTTGTTTGTGATTTTTGTCTTGTTCAAAATTACATCTAATTTCAACCCAGAATTTTTTGCGATCTTAGTTATTAGCAATACATGCAATTGTTAATAGAAAAACTAACCGACAGCTTTCTTTGTCTACTAAGAAATTGTGGCATTAATATTTAGCATCCGAGAGCATAAAACAGTTGGAAACGGCACAACATAATAACAAGGTATCGAATTAATTTTGAATGTTAATTGGTTGATTACAGGTCAACAGATGCTTGTAATCGCATCGAAATATCGAGAACTCATATCAACATTTTTTTACCCTGGACAATTAACACAGCGCCATCTAGTTTCACGGTAAGCAGACCTTGTGTTGTGAGCACTAGCCAACTGATATAAATATTTAGATTTTTTTTTGTAAATACATACATAATAAAATGGAATACACCCAGACAGATACAAACCATCATATTCATGAATACAAATGATTTGATCTTTGGTGTGTTTGTTTGTAATGGATAAACTCAAAAATTAACTGCCTTTGTGGTCTAGTGGTTTAGCAAACCGCTTTTCAACCGATGGTTAAAAAAACATGCAGAATTAATACTTCGTATTCTCGAGTATAAAATAGTGGAAAACAGCACAAACAATATCATACTACAATATTGAATTAATTTTGACTGTTGATTGGCTCAACAGATCAACTAATGCTTATAACAGCATCGAAATATCGATATATATTAATATAATTTATGAGCTGTCGATATTTCGATACTGTTACAAGTATTACAGTCCACTGAGTATTATAACTGTATCGAAATATCGGACACTCATAAATAATGTAATTACGATAAATATCCCTCCTATATAATGTGCGAAACCTTATAAGTGGTTTAAATAATGTATAATTAAAGTATTCTCAAACATCTATTATCACGAACTCTCAAATGTGAAATAACATGCGCCATACGACGTTTTCAGAGCAAATGGCAGGTGGCTCATACCGCCTGGGGACGGTGAGACCGTAACTTTCCCAATTCACCGAACAAGTTTGCTCATTACATCCATTATTATTATTGATTATCTAATCTAATAGCTATATACGGCGCAGGTAATAGCGTTTTGGCATCCAATATATGTTTACTAACGGTTTCCCGCGAGTTCGTCTGCACAAAGTTTCATTCCTTATTTTCTTCTTTCAGATTACTTTTTGAGATAAAGTATGGCCTATGTCCGTCCTCGTAATGCTATCTATCTTTTTAATAAATTCCATTGAGCTCCGTTCAGCAATTTAGTCGTGATAATGCAACAAACAGACAAAGTTTTGCAATTATTAGTACTAGTTGTCTAAATTCAAGCATCATTACTTTAAGTTATATTAAGTAAGACTATAGACAAATAATATTACTAGAGTAATTCAATTTAAGTTCTCAATTAGACTACAGACTTTAGCAATAAACAAAAAAATGAAACTTTGTCAATTTTAAACCGATCGGGCTGAGACTTTCCATCCCTAAAGCTACTTAGACGTAGGTATCCCCTAAGAAAGGATTTTGATCAATTCCACCCCTAAGGGGATAAATTAACGTGAGCGAAGCCGCAGGCAAAAGCTAGTTTTTATATATAAAGACAATAATATCATTAGAATAGTTCAAAAAAGAACAATAACAAAATATAATAATAAGAGTATAAAACAAAGACAAAGCAATAAATTGCAATGGATTTCATGATGTACGAGAAATGTCGATACGTTCTAAGTTAAAGTGTTCCAATTTAACTTATTTCAGTTGGAGCAAACTTTTTAACAATAATTGATATATGACTAGGCTGTCCACCTGCGAGATATATCAATAATTGCTTTGTGGACATGATATTGCTTTGTAACGTACATTTATACTGCAATGTAGCAACGTAACGAGGGGAAACAGTATTTTGCTTATATACCGAACTCCTTGATGAATTATATTATGATTAAATTAAGTATATCATATTTTTTTGACACAATCTTTTTGTAGCATTCTATTGTATGTTGCTTACTCATATCTCCGTATTTTGACTCATAATACCTTCAATATTTCTCACTCATCAGGTACATCAGATATCTCCGCTTATATGTGTGCACTGGTTTTTGATGCATTCGCTTGGGCTAACGGTTTACAGGCGAGGAATCAGCGGAGGATGATAAGATGAGCATGAGGTCAGGTCAGTTAGCCCATCATGACAAATTCACCAGGAATTTATAACGGTTTCCAGGGGGAACCGCGCGGAGATCAACTTAACATGGTACATTGCTAGCAATAAGATCATCAGTCCACATTACTAACAATTCCCCTTTACCCCGCAGTGTTGCACAGGTTTCAGTGCTCTAGTTTTAAAATCCCCATAAAAAAGGTTGACTAATTTACTAGACTTGTTTTAACAGAATATTTAAGTAAATATGAGTCAACACAAGACTAAATAATGCTGTAAAAATTTGTGGCTACTTACTAATAAATAAGTGAAAAAATTATTTTTGTGAATATTTTGCAATACGCCACCTATTATTTTATTTATTAATTTGTCAATTAAATAATAAATGGCGCCTATAACTATAAACGTGGACGAAGTCACAGATACTATAAAAATCCACTAGTTTATTTGTAAGACTTTATTGTATAATAAAATGTTGTATAATAGGATACAATTAAGTTATGAAATAAATTTGTACAATATTCCACTTATCGTATAAGAGGAATTTCTTACAACCAACCTTTGAATGACTGAAAGGAATTGTAAAGTGGTGGAAACAAAGGTACAATAAATTATACGAGTCACAATATTATAAATACACATTGGTACAATGAAGGTTTGGAAAATAGAACTCCAATGAGAACACCATGATCCGTAACTGACTATAGTATCTGCCAATATTTATAAACACAAAAGAATAATTGTGCTAGATATTTTTCAGCTCAAATAAATAAATAATATAATACACAAATAAATTCAAATATACATAAAGTATAGAATATACCTAATTATAAATTTAATGATAGTACTGAATATTTACACGCAGAAAGTAGAAATAAAAAAATATATTGTAAATATTAAACACCAGTCTCAGAATGACTCTAGAGCTTAATACGGGTCCACTAGTATTGTAATAAAAAGACTCAAACTATCAAAAATTATCGGCTTTTACTTTTTGTTGTCATTTATATAAGATACTTATTACTACAAAACAGGGGGTACGGGTTATTAGCAACAGGAACTGATGGCCTGTCCAATTACACTATGTATAGTGTACCACGCTAGGTCAACATCCACGACTAAACCCTGAAAGGCAATGTGACTAATTCTTGGAGAATTCGGTACGATTTTTTGTCCATTTTTCATTGATTGTCCTGTCCATGTTGTCCAATAAATAAATATTGGACATATCCAACCTTACACTTTAGAAACACCACACTTGATGACTGGAGTCGGTAGTCGACAATACGTAATTGCACCTTCTATACCAGGAAGGTAAACATTATTAGGTATATTATAATTATATATTACATTTATACCATTATCATATATTATATTGTAGGTTTTGATTAATATGATGAACATTTTTAGTTCACTTGTTAAATTCTTCATTTTCCATGTGCTTGACGTATTTACTGTAGATCTGAATGAAGTATGCAGTCAGAACTGTAAGAAAAAAGTAATGAAATGTATGTAAATGAGTTAGCATATCTATATCTGACAAATTCTTGAAATAATATTAGTAATTTGACCAAAATTAAATTATATGTTTGAACATTATTAAAGTTCAATTGTCAAAGCAGATACTAGCAGTCGCACAGGCAATAAACAAAAGATAGTCAAATATATTTTAGTAAGTATTGTTTCTTGTTATTGATTGTATTTTGTGTGCATTAGTCTAAAAAATATTACCATTCTGTACTCTTTCCCTATATAAACTATATGTGTGCGAAATTTCATACTCTATCCACTCAATTTTCTTAAAAGTGATACAAAGTTCTTACTTCACGTATTAATATTATGATACCATCAGGTCAGGGAACCTATTTTGTTCGCCCTGTCGTTGTATATTAGAGAATTGTCAGAGACCATACAGTAAACTGCAAGAACTAAAGAACTTACCAAAGTTAATAATTTCGAAGATGCTTGTGACAAGGCTGAAAGATCCATAACTATGTAGAAGATAAATGTTCCCAATTATTATCACTATCAACCTTAAAGAAGCCAATGAGATGAAGACACGAAAAAAGCCAGAACGTTTCTGTAACATATGTTGCTATTATATATTATATACTAGTTGTAACAAACCAAAGTGATTAGAGAAGCAACGTTAGGTGAACCTTTTGCTACGTTTTCGAGTGAAGTATATACAGCGAAATGTGGGCATGTAGTCTCTATGACATATAGTGTTATGTTCACCATGAAATACACAGTTGATAATGTCAGAGACTAAGACAACGCTTCAATGGACGTCAGTATATTAACAACCATTTTTTCATGTCATTGTAACGGCAAAAATTTTATCTCGTGGTAAGTGGTAACCATCGCTTATATACTGAATAGTATTACAGAAATCAGGTCATCACGTGACACTCGTGGTATTCCTAATGCAGAATTAACAAACCTTACAAACTTATAAACCGATACCAACCTTATGCACTTCAATCAACCAGGCAGCATTGATGATAACCCAGACAAAATTGGTGAACAGAATGATCGTGATAAACCACGCAATCCTAAATAAAACAGTTTGTTGTGAGGATTCAGAAAACTGTGGAACACTTTGAATTTCAACTTCCTTGGATACATCGAAGTGGTTGAAGCCATTTGTTGCGTAGCCAAGAATTGTGGTCACAGTAATGGTTGCGATGATGCTCAGCAATGTACTGACCTGAAAAGTTTTTAATATGTTAATAATGTCAATGTGCTACCTCTAATATAGTTGAGTGCAATGATGGCTGGCTCATCCGACACTCTTTTGAACGGATGCTGCTTGTGCGCACTGGTTTGTTCACGAACACTGATTAGATTTTTTGTTTTTGCAAAAGCATATGCTGGTGGCCACTCTATTCTCCAAAATTTGAATTTAAGTGAATCTGTATTATTGTAAATATGCACAACATTTATTTGAAAAGAATACGAGTTTCTTGTCAGTTTTTCTCATCTCGAAATCATTCCGAACTGACGGTAGATTTGACATATCATAAGAGTCTGTAATAAACCGACATGAATTTAATTTGAATTTGAATTTAATTGTTTTTAATAGCATAGAGCCAAACAAAGTTGTGACACATCTGATAGAAAGTGATTATCATTGCCTTCAACATCGGGGTATTACAACCTGCAATTGTTGTCTGCTTTTTGAGAAAGTCTGGATAGGGGAAGGAATTAGGAAAGGGATGAAGAGCGATGACACTTGATGCCGGTACTCTGCAGAGGTGTGGTATTTTTCAGTTCGAGAAGGCCAAAAATATTATTATTATAGAGACATTGTTTACAAAGTATTCTAGAAGAATCTGTCTCAACTATTTACACTACCAGCAAATATAATTAGTAAGGAAGAAACTTGCGTGTTGTTATTTTAAATTAATGGTATTCATTAGTTAGGAGTTGGACAATACATCAGAGTGTGGTAGGCATTTGAAGACGATATAATGTTCATGATACTCATGATGTTCATGTATATAGATATGAACACAGACAGACAATAGTTGTCAGTTTCTAACAAATAGATCTTCAGTGCGTTTGCTAATCCAGTTACATAAAATGAAACTAATACCGCGCTGTCCATGATCTTCTGATTTGGTATTTTCCTATCGATCCTTCGTCCAATTCAAACAGGAATCGAAATTACAACTACCTAAACCGAGGTTTAAACCCCTAGCGGTACCCTCAGACTGAAGATGGCCTACAGCCACTCTATAAATCACTCCGCGGGTTTGGAGTGCCACCAATACTCTTCTCCTATCATTCAGTGAAGGTAAAAAGTTCGAAAAATATATGCTTTGTTCTCACAGTTATCTCTTGCACCGTATTGATAACGTTAAAGAGTGATAATACATTACCAAATTCAAATATCCCAGAATAATGCATCCAGTTCTTAGCGGTATCCAAAAGCAGCATCTTGTCACCGAAGGCTCTATCTGAACTCTATAGTTCATTGATTCTGACATACTGAAACAATAAATTTATGAAATAACTATGATTTTAAAATATTGTTGACAAAACAACAACTTTAAATGGTATAATGCTGTAATGCCGTGCAAGGAATGGAACCGCGACCCTTAAAAGTACAGCAATGTGCTACACCGCCAGATCATCGAAGCCGTCATATATATTATATTATATACATTTAACTTACCAAAAAACGTCTCACTTTTATCCAAAAAATTCAATATTATTACTTGTATTACAACGTTTCACTTTTATCCACTAAATCCAATATTATTATAAGCTGTGGTCTGTTAATAAATACATCAGGTGATAATAACAAAACGTATACGTCCACACTCGAATATGCGCACAGTATTTTGGCTATATAATCAAAATCTTGTATCACTCACAGACGCCCATTCCGGTCAGCACAGGTATTCTGTAAGTGCTTAATCAACTCATTTCACTCATCACTTCGCTCAAGGTATCGTATCCACTTATCAAATACTAGTTACTCAACTCGATTTCGCCCGGGTGTACATATATTATATATATAACCTTCTGTAATATATATATATATATACCTTCCTCTAGATTACTATCTATTAAAAAAACCGCTTCGAAATCCGTAGCGTAGTTTGAAAGATTTAAGCATACGTAGGGACAGACAGCGACAGCGATTTTATTTTATACTATGTAATGATGATAAAGTTCCTACAAAGTTATCGAGTTTGCCTATATTTCTATAAAAATCACTAGTGCCTACTTTACCTCCATCCCGCTCTTGAGCATGTAACATTGCAGTCGCTATCGAGTTTTATAGAATAGCATATACTATCTCACCGCGGATTCCGCTTTCGAATTCGTTAGTGACGCTTACAGAATAGCTCTACAGCTCGACTGTTTGACTTTGCGATACAATCAAAAGTAAATAAAAAACTACTTGTCAGATTCTTGAATCATCGACACAAACTCAAATATGCAAATAATGCACATAAATTATAAGAAAATATGTATATAACAGTAGCGGCCAGTCTCGGTTTCGCTCAGTTGGACATTTAGTAGCGAATTTTCTTTTAACCTTTATTATTGAAATTTTTGTAGGTAGTTCAGTTTTATATAGCAATAAATATAGTCTATGTTATACAGGATTAACGTAGCTTTCTAACGGTAAAATAATTTTTGAAATAAGTACTGTAGTTTTTGAGTTTATTTGTTACAAACATACGAATCTTTCATATTTATAATATTACTGTAGATTAGTATAGATAGGTGTGTCGCAACGTAACGTTGTATTACCACACTTGGCCTGGTTCACTACCCTGCTTAGATCTCAAGTGTTATGTCATCATGACTAACTCTCCGGTGATTGAACACATTTATTTCTTCTGTACCTTAAATATGATATGTGTTTGTAATTGGTGAATAAAGATATTTTATCTATTATAGCAATCATAATAATATTATAAACACGAAAGTTTGTGAGTATGGATGAATGTTTGTTACTCTTTCACGCAAAAACGGATTTTGATGAAACTTTACAGTAATATAGCTTATACATCAGAATAACATATAAGCTATAAATTTCATGCGGGTGAAACCGCAGGCGCAGCTAGTAATATATATTATTTATCTATTTTATGTATACTACTTTATTATATATTGTCTTCACTCAGCAGCTTTTATTTAACTGGAAACAAGCTGATGGTGTATCCTGGTGAAAGTGGCACCTGTAATATTCCTGCATAATTCACACAGCGCCATCTAGCCCCAAGCTAAGTAGAGCTTGTAATAGTACCAGACAACAATACATGTACTACAAACAAAATAGCTATATTTAGATACACAGTTTTTTGTAAATACATACTTAATATACATAAAAAACACCCAGACCAATACAAATTTGTATTGTTTGTAACGTTCAAGTATTAGAACTTGCGACCCGCAACCGCGAAGTAACGTGGTGCGCTGCACTTCTGAACCTCCGAAGCCGTTTTTTTGAAATGGAATAATCTTACCTCAAAAGGGGACACTTGTACTAAAGCTTCCTACCACCGAGATGAAAATGTTGCGGTCTGGTGGAGTCACGAGACTAGATAGGGTGCGAAATGAATACATCCGCTGTAGTTTCTAAGTAGCCCCAATAACGGACAAACTTACCGAAAGCCGTCTCAGATGGTATGTCCATGTAATTTTTATTTTATTTATTTATTTCAGGCTACTAGGCCCATATTATAAATACCTTATAGACTAACATACATATGAAACAATATAAAATTAAGATATTGAAATTGTCTCTGTGATCACGGCACTGACGGCGGCAATCTGCCACGGTACACCACACCCTTCGGCCAGTAGTCCTCCTTCATGAAGGTGGGCAGCATGTTGGTGGGGACTCGGGCCACAAACACCTTGAAACTCACGTTGTGGCTCAACTCCAGCGTCACCCTCAATGTCAGGTTACTCTTGGTACGGATATAATCGAAATGTCCTGTTCCTTAGTACCGTAATGTAGACGAGACAGGTACATTGCCGTGGTCGGTGTAGCAGCACGCAGCAGGAAGTTGGGCCTAGTGAGTGCAGTGCCACAATGGTTCCTATTGACCCTGTTTGTGCGCCTCTTCTTTTGTAATGCGTAGTGACAAGGATTACGTGGTCAAAAAAGCCTTAAGACTACCTGAACTCAAAATGGGTAGGGGACGTCCTCCAGCCAAATGGTGGACCAGTATGAGCAAGCTTGTCGCTGCGGAAAAATTGCCCGACCCGACCACCCAGGACAGACTGTCCTGGCGCCGAAAAATTAGGAGAGCCGACACCGCATAAAGTGGGACAGAGCTACGACTAAGAAGAAGAATAATCTTACCACAGAGAATAATATTATATAATCTTTCTAATATTATAAATGCGAAAGTTCGTGAGCATGGATGCATAGGTAGTCTATTATATGGCAAGACGTCTATATTCTGACTAGCTATTGCCCGCGGCTTCGCTCGTGTTAACTTATCCCCTTAAGGGTAGAATAAATCAAAATCCTTTCTTAGCAGATGCCTACGTCATAACATCTACCTGCATGCCAAATTTCAGCCCGATCCCTCTAGGGGTTTGGGCTGTGCGTTGATAGACCACTATGTCAGTCACCTTTGAGTTATATGTACGTATATAGATTTGTAAAGCGACATTTTAATTTCTTAAAATGTGCACTATTTTTCGTATTCGAAGTATAATCTTTAGACATTTTTAATAAGCAGCCGACCTTGTACATCTAGAATCTACATATAAAAATTCTACGCATTGCGCACAGAAAAAATAATATAAAATATATATTATACATATTCTTAAATTATCATTTGAATTTTGTAGATTCTTAATTGTGTGGATTGTATTTCGATATGTTGTTTAATTTATTTTATTACTATTAAAAACACATCATTAATTATCCATGCTAATGTTATAAATAGGAATGCTTTGATTTTTTGTGTATGTGTTTGTTAATACATGAACTCAAAAACTTTCTTACTGAATTTCAAAGTTCTTTTACTGTTTGAAACGTATCAGAATGACATAGGCTATATACGAGTCAAGATGCTATAACTTTGAAGTCGTAATTCTGCTCGAAGGAGTCGTCCTCAAAGGTCCAATTATGATTTCGAACCATTCAGAAACTTCAGTTTCTGGATGGTTCTGCTGGTTATGCTTATAAAATTTCATCCAAATCGGTCCAGCCATTTAATAAGTCTGCTGACGAACAGACATACATGAGAATTTATTAAGATAAGCGTATATGATAGAATTGGTTGGGAACCCTCGGTTTTGGAGTTGTCTCGCCGGTTTTGGCTATTAAAACAATATACATACAAATATAATACCCATAATACGCATTATATTAAATACAGGTTCTATATATATATATATATATAATCTAGGTATTATATTACTACAATTAATATCGCAAACCTGTTTCCCAAGTCAAAACCTCGCTCCGTATGTTCCGAATTACCGTTATTAAAAGTAAACAGATTTTCATTATTTTTTGTACTACCTAAGTTGTCTAAATGGGGGAAAGACAATTGTTATTAATGTGGATTGATAACCCCATTGCTAGCAATGTACCATATCAGTTCGACCTCCACGCGGTTCCCCCTGGAAACCATCGTGTTAAATTCCTGGTGAATTCACCACTGACCTGGCCTCATATTCATCTTATCATACTTCACTGGTGCCCCGCCAGCGTAAACTGTCAGCGCAGGCGGGTGCACCATTTCATTATCATATAAAAAAAAAAGTTGTCTCAATAGAAATAATAACAAGAATAATTTTGTAAATATGTCATGATTTGCTATAAATATAAAAAGTGTGTTGTTGCCGCTATCGCAAGAAAGTTAATAGAGGGCGCCACTAAGTTATGCTGTGTAGATAGCAGCGCCATATTCTCCAGACTACCTTTAGAATGAATACCTGTGCCTGTGGCTAGTCTATGGCATGCCATGTCATATTGGTGGTGGGGCAATATCGACTACTGGGGAGATAGTCGATATTGGATACTGGGGATACATTTGAGAGGACACTTACATCTTGATAGTCGAGTAGTGAACAACTAAGTACTATTTACAGTTAATATAATAAATACATACATTATACTAGCATGTATGTAACCTCAGGGATGTTAGGGAGCTCCGTAATCGTAACCGAATCCGAAATAAAAGTTTCTGATAATATCGGATAGGGGCGGAGCCTAATTGAGGCACGTCATGTTACCATTTTATTAGCTATTTGTATTTTACTTTTAAAATTCTTTAAGATAATATCCGTAACCGAACTTATCCGAAACGGACGATCCAAAATAATTTCATATCCGTATCCGAAATTTCATATCAATAACATCAAATTCAAATTCAAAATCATTTATTCATGTAGGACATTTTAGCCGCTTATGAACGTCAAATTTTTGCATTATAATTTTAATTTTTCCCTACCGTACATTTCGGTATATAAATCCAATTGAAAATAACTGGCAAGAAAC